GCCCTCCCCAGCGCTCGCGCCCGAGTTTTTAAAGTGGGCTGGCCGCCGGGGGAGCCGGACATTCGGGAGCCGACCGCCTAGCAGCTCCGGCGCTCGCTGAGCTCCCGCCCCAGCTCTCCTGAGCCGGCCGTACAATCCTCGGCAGTGTCCTGAGACTGTATGGTCATCTCAGCGGCCGCGCCTGCCGGGCCCGGACACCTTCCAACTCCTGTCGCTCGAGTCTTTTTTTTAACCCAGAAAAGTGACTCTTTTTCTAGGGAAAAAGGAACTTTGGTTCCCTACTCGCTGCCCTCCTTTCTCATCTGACAACCTCCTCCCACTCCCACCTCCGACCCCGCCTCCGCGTGCAGGTTCCTCCCAGTCACCTTTCTCCACCCCCCTCCCCCGCACCTAGCCAGCAGCCCGCAAATTTCCACCTGACTGTGCGGAGCGCTCGGGACCTGCGAGCACTCAGGGCCTTTAACAATCTCCCCAGCCTCAGACAGACGACCAGGGCCACCGAAGACAACCCCCACTGGCCAAGAAGCCCAGGTGCTTGGCGTCTCAAAGGGCCGCTGCGATAATGACAGCTGACAAGGAGAAGAAAAGGTAAGCGGGCGTCAGAGCCGGTGAGGGAGCTGATTCAAGGCAGTAGCCGGGTTAGTGCGACCGCGATCTGTTGCGAGAGTGTGGAGAAGTCTTTGTGGCTGAGAATTGGTTTGGAAGGTTTTGAGAGGCGGAAACCAGGTGCCGCCGGGCTGCGGCGTCTCAGTGGAGAGTTTTCTGTTTCCAAAGCGTCGCGAATCCGCGTGTGCAAAAAGGCCGAGCGGCACTTTCGCGGTGCCTTCCAAAAGTCTCTTGTCCCCGAGTGCCAAACTCCTGCGGTCAGCACGTTGAAAAGTTCCTGGGTTGATGGCCTCGGCTTTTTCGGGTCTCACATGCAAGGGCAACGTCCACGCCTCCTTTTCCCCCTGACCCCCCGGATCCTTACAAATGCGCTCATATACCCGCGCTGCGCCCCAAACTGGCAAGGGGCGGGAGGCGGAGCGCTGACTCCCCGCGGAGGAGTAAGGACGCGCGGCTAGTGGCCCACTCCCGGGCTCCAGAGCCCACCCAAGCCTGGAGAACTCCCTCCCTCACCGTGCACTTTTGAGTGAGCCGGAGAGTGGGCAGTGACCTGGATTGCCCTGCGGGGGCAGGTGTGTTGGACTGTAGGGAGGGAATGGCAACCCTGGGCGCCGCCGGCGGGTCGGGTTGTCTGACTCCTAAGAGGACAGAGAAGGGCAGCCAGCCTGCCCTCGCCAGCCTCTCGGCACTGGGTGAGAGGCAACTCAAGCCAACTCTCGCTGCCCTCCCGCCCCCTCCCGGCCGCTCCCGGTCCAACCCGCCGGCCTTCTGCGAGTGAATGTGGGAGCGCACGGTGCCGGTGCCGCAGCGGCAGATGCGCTCCCACCTCCAGCACAACCCGCACAAGTGCGCGGTTCACCGCCAGGTCCCCTCCTCCTATCTTTGCCCGCCTCTGCTACCCCAGTGGGCTGGAGTTCCTAGCCGTGCGCTCAGCGGCGGCTTGGTAGGACTGAACCTAGGTGCTTGGAGTTGAACGCTCCCAGACTGAACCATCTGAACCTCCTCGGGAGGCCAGCTGCCGCATGGTCGGTTGCGAGGTGGTGCCGGGGGTATGGGAGGACTAAGCCCTGAAGGGAGTGAGGTAGTGGCCGGTTGATTTGCTCTTGTTCCCATTTTCATTCGGGACTGGAGCCAGAAACCGTGTATCCTCCGGTTGAAAGCGGCGGTTCCCACCTCGGAGCACCGATAAGGATTTGATAAACGGGAGCAAATCGCACCCGTCCTGGCCAGGAGCCCGGGTCCTTCACAGCGGGATCGCTAGAGGAAGGAGACTGAGCCCCACTGTCCTTTCCCGGCAAAGCTCCCCCTGCTTCCTGGGTCACAGTGACTCCCCCAGGCCTGAGATCTGCGGAAGATGCTCCCCTTGGGACCCTTAAAGCAGCCCTGGATCCTGTCTTTTGATGGCAGCAAAACAAATAAAAGACTACAGGGTTTTAATGTATTTTGTAAAGCCAATACTAATGCCAATAATGATGACCAAACAAACAAAAAACAAAATTATAGTCCCTCTGTGAATGCTCCCGACTCCAGAACCGGGAAGAGAACTTGTGTCCTTGGTCTTCAAAAAGATCACGGAAAACGCATGTTATGAAAAAACTCCATGGATTTTAGAAAAAAAGGTCTTTTGCGCCAAAATAAACTCATACTTTAATTCCAGTTTTCAACTAACTTTCTGAAATCCCCTCGTACATTTTACAGCTGAGGTGCTTATCAGAGAGTGTTGCAATCACGGAGGTGGGGCCAGATGGTAATCTTGACAAATGTGTGAAGTGTCAGCTTCTCCCGCAAGCCTCAGCACCGGTCCTGTGCTATTATGTATATTAATCGTCACAGAAATTTGGGAGCAGGGAAAAACGATTTCGACACAGTCCTTCCTTGGGGAGAGAGAGAGAGAGGAATGGGAGTGGAAAGAAGACTGTGGGATTCCAAGTTATTGGCCTGGGTGTCCTGCCGTGAAAGGTCTAGGAGGCCGTTGTCTGTGCAAGGCACCAACCTGGTGGCCACTCCTGTGTGCCCACCCTCTGTGACCTGCCTGGAGTTTTGTGCCGCATAATGGCAGGACAGCGTGTCCCACACCATACAGAGTCCCATGAGGATTTTTCCAATTCTTGCTGGACTAATTGTTCTGAGACTTATTTACTTTTCGATTCTGGCTCTCTTTGCTGGCTCCAGGCTTCTTGAGGGACCAAAATGCAATTAAAATATGTAGACCAATAAATCGAAAGGTAGTATTATGTAAGTGGCTTTCTCAGAGTACCCCACAAATGCGCTTGACATCGGAGAGGCTCTGCGGATGATTCTACCCTGCTAGTCAGTTCTTAAAGATGTCTGCCAGCAGAGCCCTTTTCTTCTCCCAAAACTTAAGATGCACAGGACCTTGGCAATGTGCCTTCTAATGACTGCTCCTCAAGAAGTGGGTAGGATTATTCTGTTACAAAAACATTCACATGTGGATGGATACACTAATGGTTAATAGTAAAGAGTTTGCTTTTTTAAATGTTGGTTGGGTGGTTGGCCTTGATAGAAGATTCCAAAGTGTGGGGTTTTTTGGTGGTAGTGAGGATTTGCAGTTTCATCAGAGATGTCAGGAACTGAAACTTGGTAAGGTTTCTGCTCTTTCACTCACTTTTCGACGTCTATCAGAAGTAACGTGGAGGTCTCATTAACCTGTCAGGTGCCTGAATCTACGAAAGGCTAAAAAGTGTCTGGGTGATTCATCTCCCGGTGAAATAATATCTGAGTCCCTTGCCTAGAAGAGAAAAGAGCATGCAAGTTCTTATGTGGGAATTGGCATGTGGTTCAGGTATATATAAATAAGATACTTGGGTAATTCAAAGTCCAGTTCTAAAGTCAGACCCAGATCCTCACACCTTTCAGGAATGTTTATATATTGCTTAGCACAGGGCCATTGGTGCGAGGAGAACTGGAGACATCTAGTCCAGAAGTTTTTTTTTTTTTTTTGGAGAGATTTTCACTGTAGGGCGCGTGCGCTCGCCAGACAGACAGAGAGAGACATAGAGACAGAAAGCGAGAAATCACCCCCCAGGGGGGATGGTCACGCTGCAATCCCTTCTCCTCCATTTTCCTCTCGGGATCTTGGGCACGCACGCACACGCGCCCAGCGTGAGTTTTAAGCCACCGGGTCCAGGACACGAACCGCGGTTGACTACATGGGAGTCCAGCGACATAGCCATTACGCTAACTGCTGGTTCCCTAGTCCAGAAGTTTTCAAACTATCTCCCCCTCTCTTGCCAACAGGACAATTTTTCCTCTGCTAAAAGAAAATGAATCTTTTTTTCCTTCTGAAGAGAAAAATATTGCTTGATAGTTTTTTCCCAACTTAAACATATTTTTGTAAATATTCTTTCAGTGTTTGCTATCTGTTTCCATTGTATTAGCAGAAAAACAGAATTATACAGAATCTATATAACAGATTATCCGTCCAATTCATAAAGCTTTCATGAAGTTCAGAGGAATGCTGTGGCTTCAGGTTTTTTCAGTGTCACTGAGAGGGAGCTTAAAATTACAAGCAAGAGATTGTGGAAACTTTCATCAAGCCTTGCTCTTTCTGAAGGAAAATGTGGTCCAGAGAGTTTAAATGACCTCCAATCACAAGGGAAATTAGTGCTGGTAAGAATCAGAACTCTGATTCATTCATTTCAATTAAGTATGTATTTCCCTTTTGTTCACAAAAGAACACCCCAGCCCTGAAATGACAGTAAGGATGATTTCCAAAGGATTAGAGTGCCCTCCCCTCCACCAGTCCTCCCAAACCACTGAACCTTGTAGAAAGGAGATTTGCTTTTCTAGATAATCATAAAAGCCTTCAGGCTGCAACAGGACTGATTCTGTCTGCATCTGGGAAAAAAAAAAAAGAGTTGATTCTGGTCCCAGTGTCTGTAAACTTTGGACAGTATGAATTCATTATTTTAGTGCTCTCCCTTCATTTCAGTTAGAGGGAGGAAAAAAAAAACAAAAACTTGCATAGGTGGATCTCACTAAGCAAAAGCAATGCAAGGACTGCTCTTCCGTGGAACAGATATGCTTTGTGACATAGAGAACTTTCAAGCAGCTCCTAGACTGATTGTTGTAATGGGTGAGTTGTTTTCAGTAGAAGCAAAAACTGTGAGACTAAAACAGTTTAATTGTTGGGCTGTCGGAAAAGTCATGGCATATTTTTTCTATGGTCTTCTATACAAAAGTGTGTCATGACTTTTCTGACAACCCAATACTTAGAATATAAATCTTGATATCTCTCACTCTCCGTCACTCTGTACAGCGATTCTCAAAGTTTTAGGAGTTCACCGCATAAAGAATTTAGAAATAGAGGGATCCACTTAGGTAATTTTTAGTAGTACAGGATGTTAGCCTAGTATATTTGAAAATCCTGTCATTAATTAAAGAGGCTTTCCTGTGTTTCAGAAAATCTATTCAATAATATCTGCTTTTTTGTATTTTCCCCAGTTCATCCTATACAAAACTGATAGTTTCCCTTTTCATTGTTGCCTAATGAATCTCCCCTTTTGGTTTTAGTGCTGACATCACTGGTGGTTCATAACACGCCTGGCTTTTCCTAGCATTATGAAGTAGCAAGGTTTGCTCCCAAGCCCCAGTGCCCTTTACACCAGCTCCCACTACCACACTGCCTGTTTCCATGATGAAAACCAGTGTTGACGTTTACACCAAGATATAAATCAATAAGACAACAAATGTGTATTGATCTCCTTCTCCTAATCTGGATCAAATGTGGAAGAGAAAACTAAGACATAGGGAATATGGTCCTTGTTTTCAAGTGGCTTATTTAGATTGGGTGAGGGGGAGGTGGGGACACAAGGAAGCTTAGTTAGAAATATAAATAGCTGGCAGCTTACATGTGACTTTTCTGTAGGGATGTAATATTTTGAAACTAATGATAAGAAACCCTGAACAACATTTCAGGTAGTCACCACACAGAACAGGATGTGTAGTTATTGAAGAGTAGT